TTTTTTATACTTATTTATTATTTATTATTTTTATTTAGTTATTCTTTTTTTTAATAAAGGGCGACGTCCTTGAGATATATCATCGTTGAACCGACCGGCGTCAGGTAATTTAGATTCTAGAATTATTTTTATTGTCGTCATCTGGTGCTATCTGGATTCGAACTTGAGTCTGTGGTCCTCGCCAGGCCACTGTCGAAACGAAAAGAGAAGGAATGCATCTGCCTCAGAAAGTGGTAAGGTGCATCCATTGGTATTTTTCGAACTTGGATCTGTATTTCAACAGTTCATGGGTGTACCAACTGAGCTAGGTCGATTGGTCCTTTTTTTTTTTTGGTTGTGGGGAGGAAGGGGGGGGGTGTGCAATTGATCATCGCAATCTACGGGCGAGAGGGAAAGTATAGATTCCATTCCTTTTTTTTTAGTTTTTTTTCGTTTTTCTTGGCCGTCGATCATCGTAATCTACGGATGAGCGTGAGCGTATCTAGTCTTTTTTTTTTTTTTTTTTTTTTTTTTTCCCTATCATCCCGGTGCATCTGTAGGGTAGTCGATAGTGAGAGTACGCGTGCGAGAGAAAGACTCTCACTTTTTTTTTTTCCTCAATTTTTTCTATTTTCATTTCAATAAAACACGAAGGTCCACGTGAGAGGGACAGAGTAAAAAAAAAACTTAAAAAAAAGATAATTTCTGCAGTAATGAATCTGAGGGGAGGAGGTCGAGGGCAGAATACGTAGAGTAGCGAGAAACACGTCGACTGAATGTGGACGTAATGATGAGCAGGTGCATCCTGGAAAATCCCTAGTGTGAGTATGTCGTGCGAAAAAGATAGTTTCTTTTGTAGCAGTCCCACAGATCGTCAGTCGACTGAATGTGGACGTGATGATGGGCAGGTGCATCCTGGAAAATCCCTATTGTGAGTATGTCGTGCGAAAAGGATAGTTTTTCTGTAGCAGTCCCACAGATCAGTCCCACAGATCGTCAGTCGACTGAATGTGGACGTAATGATGGGCAGGTGCATCCTGGAAAGTCTCTAGTGTGAGTGTGTCGTGCGAAAAAGATAGTTTTTTTTGAAGCAGTCCCACAGATCGTCAGGTCACAAGGCTGAGGCCTTCACAATTTTGAATCGTCTTTTTTTCCAAATTGAAATTACTAATATAAGGCTAATAATTAAGTAATTAATTGATTTATTAAATAAGTAAATAAGTTGGATTGCGCGGGAGACAACGAATACGCAT